CCAAGTAATCGCGGTGTCATTAAGAAGGCTGCAGAGATCATCTAATTTATTGACCAAAGATCGTGCATTTACATGTAATATGTTCAGCTGCTTGTCTGAGTTGCAGTTTATAGTTTTGTAAACACTGCTAGGCATATCAAATGAACAGTTTGTTCTTATTTCTTCATACTTTCGATATGAAAATATGCCATTGGTTTCGTCATTGCTTTCATCAAGAGAAAAAGGATCTAAAGTTTTGTTTAGTGGAATGTCTATCATAACACTAAGAGCAATGAAGATAGAGTAAAGGGTTTCAAATCACATGGAATCAGGTTCAGAGAGAGAGAGAGAGAGAGAGAGAGAGAGAGAGAGAGAGAGGGAGAGAGAGAGAAAAAAAAGCCTTCGAAAGTATGGCAGCAGGCAAAGAAACCCTACTATTGTATCATTTTTTATATTTTAATTAGAGGCAAACACCTATCACTGTATATTCTCTAACACAATGATAATAATCAGGGCGCCATCTAGAATCATTTAGTTGAAGTGAAGGATAAGTATCTTTAATAGATGTCGCTGGGGTGCTGTGGCCCGGCCCCACCAACAAGGCTGAATCCTCCCAAAGAAGGATGAAAATGACTAGGTAGCATATGAGGAGAGGAACACGAGGTTTGATAAGTACATGTTTGCTTAATTTATCAGCTGAGTATGTAACTAGAATAGTGTTATGTTCATGTTCAGTAATGCAGTTTTTCTGGATGCTGGCTGTATGGGAGCATCTTGTTTTTATTATTATTATTATTTACTTTTGTATTATAGATGTATTCTGTGAAGATTTGCCCCCAAAACCAGGCTATATGCTTGTCAGAAGCATCAGCTCAGCTGATATAACAGCAGAGGCCAAGTAGCAAAGGACTGAACTGACTCATTTTACAATCACACATAGCGCCCACACATACTGTAAAACCAATCCGTTTGCTGGATTGAGGCATGTTGCCATGCTCATTCACTCATTAAAACATCCTGTCTCCAAACAGGGATCACATATATACAGATAAAACTGCCTGTCTCCAGGCATGGGGAGGGCATACACACATATAAAACAGCCTGTTTCCAGGCAAGGCGCACACTCACACAAAGCCTGAAGGCTAACCACTCACACTCAGTCCAGGCCACACTACCTCATCCATGATTCAGCCATGAGCCAAGCAATCTGCCAGCCACCCGGGGAGGGGGGAAATCTTCAACAAAATTTGAGATATTATTGGTGTTGCTGCAACCTATGCAGCATTGTCACAGCAGTGCTGCATTATGCTGGTAAGGTGTGTAATTGTGCAAGTGCATTATGTGCAACAGTAAGAGATGCATATGTACCTTGAATTGTACATATGCATCTCCCCATTCAATTGCATTGTACGTGAACAACACAATTGACCAACTGTACTGCACATACACAGCAGCAGTCAATGCACCATACATTTCATCACTTATTTGTAATGTGTTACTTTTAACTTTACACTCACATCCCGTAGTAGGTAGGTACATTTGTTTGTAACCATTTTGTAAGGTATGAATGTGTTTAAATTTACTTCAAAGATTTGAGGGATGACAAGGATTGACTAAGAGGTCAACAAACCAGACAAGTGAGGATGTGAAAGCTAATTGGGAGGAGAAGCCCAGAGAGGCAGCGCCGAGCCACAGCAACCCTATGTTCAAAGAAATTTATTATGTTGAGCTATAAGCAATATTGAAATTATTTCAGTAAATCATATGACGTCAGGTGACATATAATTCTATTTTTTTCCACACTTACTTCTTTAGGGCAGCCTGACGAGTCATGGGACCAGCAGCCTTCTTGTTTCTTTCTACCACCAGACTTTCCAGGCTCTCTGTTTTGTTGAGGACATTGCCTGCTGGGATCCGTTCAAAGGTTTGGGAAATCAGGAATCTGCCCTGGGAAGAGTTTCCACGGGCACCAGTATAGGAGAGGGCATCGGCATCACGCATTGCCTGGATGATTTCTTCCCTGGTGAAGGAAGGCTGGATGCGGGCATATCTCTTGTCCTTAGAATCCCTGGCCAGGATGATGCCATTTTTGGTGTGGTAGTTGATGACATGATCATTGTTTCGCTTCATGTCTGAAAGAATTTTCACCTGTTTGGCACGCCTGTCAGTCAAGTTCTCATGAATGATGACCCCTGCAGCCTCTGTTTGGTTGAATTTAGCCTGGTACACTTTGTTCCTATCATCCATGTCCTGGAATTTCACTACCACCCTCTTCTTGTTTCTCAGGCGGTGACAAGCCACCACTTCTCCCTTCATGTCCACCTTTAACTTTTCCTTGATAACTTTGATCGCCATGGCCCTAGTCTCGTCAGTGGATTCATCTTTCTTTGGCTCTGGGACTCCCTCCCCACTCAGAATCAAACACGATTTCCTGGAGTACTGCTCTACCTCATCAATGGTGTCCTCTAATTTTTTGACAGCCTTGTGAAGCTCAGAATTTTCTTTTTTCAGGTTTTCATTCTCTACCTTGAGCTGAGCTAACTCTTTTTTGACACCCTCCATCTCCCTACTCACGGCCTCAGCTACAATAGCTTTAATCTCCTCCATCTCCCTCGCTGAACCCCAAAATCAATCACAAAATCAAAAAAGACACAAAGAAATTACCAGAAAAAGCAAAAAAGGACAAAAATGAAAAGCAAAAACTGGTAAACTATCAACTACACCCAAAAAATCGAATCGAATCTACGCGTCACAATCGCCACGAGGAGACACTTCCACGCTCGACCAAGGTCAGACCGGGAATGACCTTGGTCATGTCATCAACTACCACACCAAAAATGGCATCATCCTGGCCAGGGATTCTAAGGACAAGAGATATGCCCGCATCCATGTTACCACCCACCTCTAACCCAAAAATAAGAGGGCTAGAAAGACGCGGTAAAAAGCAGTCGATAGCTCTAAATGCGTACGTTTGAAAGTATTTCGGTCATTTTTCATCTTGGAGCAATATTGGGGTCACTGGATGTCATCAAAGGTCAAAATTTGCCAAATGTCATTATATTTTTCAGAAAACATGCATTTATCTCAGGAACTATGATAGCTAGAAAAGCGAATTGAAAAGCAATCGATAGCTTTTGAACTCTTCTTTTGATAAGGTTATCATCCAAATTGACCTCAGGTCAACAGTTTAGCCTACAGAGGGCAAAAACTCAAAAAATAGCTGCTTTTTCGCAAAGTGTTTTTCGACAATAACTTTTGACTAGAAAAAGCTACGACATTTCTATGGCCAGAATCGTGTTCCTCTCGACGAGACGCGTCGAATGAACTATAATTTGACCTTGAAAGGTCAACTTGAAAATTTGACCTCAGGTCAAGGTCATGACCTGACCGGAAAAGGTCATGTTGCATATCATTCGATGCGTCTCAACAAGACAAACACAATGAGGCCATCCCCAGCGTCCCATCTCTTTCCAATCGAGAGTTATTGGCAAAAATATGTTTGTAGCCTCAAATGACCTCGGATGACCTTTCTAGAGGCTATCAGCAAAAAAGACACCTTGGTCGTCACGGGTGGTCCAAATCATTGTGATTCTGAAATATCTGGACTGTTCCTATGCGTACACACGGATCTAGAGGCATTTTCATTTTTCTCCATTGACTTATAATGGTAAGGTCACGCCACTGACCTGACCTTAGGTCACGGATATAAAAAATCCGAGATATACAAATTGTAGGTGCCTATAACATCATGCAATCCACCAAGTTTAAAACCTTTCTGACAAACACTGCAGGCTGGACATGATTGCAAACTTTTTTTAGGCCTGGTCAGTTAACTTGACCTGGTGACCTGACCTGGGGTCAAAAATTTCACACATTGTCCAAAATTGATGTACAAAAAGCTATGCCAAGCGACGCGGCGCTACGCGCCGCCGTTTTTATTTATACGCAAAAAACGCGACAGGGTGGTAACATATGCCCCCCCCCCCACTGGGACGAAGGTTAAACAGCTGGGCGCCTTCAGCACCATCCAGCTAGAGTGGCGTCAGTCGGTTGGCCCTCTGAGGTCCCTTTTTCACGGCTCTGAAGTGCGGCGGTGCACCTGACCGATACGCGTCCAATCCATGCAAATGAGATGCAAGAGACGTAAATGCATCCACTTGTGATCGGGAAGGTCACACCAAAGCGTCAGAGTGTCGCCGACTGGCAGTGGCGTGCTGAGAAAGGTGCTGGATGGGGGAGGGGGGGGGGGGGCGCACTGATATCTCGTGCGATGATGTGGATGGTAGCTCAATTGAAAATATTTGGAAAAAAATACCGACATGAGAGCTCAATACCCAATAGTTAATTGCCCATTGCAAGAAAGGCCGTGAGTATGAGGTGGCTGTGGAGAGAAAACTGTCCGAGATCGCTGCATCTGTGACGCTAAGAAATTCCTCTCGAGAGACGATTCCATGCGACACGTATTCCATGCTCCAGTGCACCACATCCTAGCTTACATTTCCACCTGTTCGACCACTCTGGACAGCCGTGTAGACACTGCTCCGGTCGTCCTTGACAGTCGCTGTTGTATGTATGGCCTGAGGTCCTTCTGCGCGTGGTGGCCCGCCCCGGCGGAGTGCGGCGGTGAGGGGCTGGACGGGTACTCGACGACTCCACGCGGTCGCAGGTCGATGGGACGACCGATACTCGGCAGAGGTGTGATATCAGACGTCGCACTGACCACCGGCCAGTAAAAACGCACCAGAGAGTGTTGGTCTTCCGAACACGTCCAATAGGGTGGCAAACATGGGAGAGATTTTAGGTACGGGGTGCGGGTGTCACCTTTTTATTCGTCACTGTGCGTTGTGTTACATTGATCGCAATTGATTGATTATTGATCATAGCCACCATTTGCAAATAAATGCACTGCCACTGACCTGTTGTATGGTTGATTACTGAGGTCTGTATGTTTGCTGCCACTGCGGCTGTTGTTTACCGGTCTGAGATGGTGACACCACACCGCTGTTAACCCGTTTCGTCAGGTGATATTCGTCAACAACCCTGTGAGCGGCGCACTGATCCTGATAGGCCTATTCTGCAGCAACGTCTTCACGGGCGTGGCCGCCATCGTCTCCGTCATTGCAGCTCTGCTCTGCTCCAGGGTGAGACAATGACCCCGTTTCCATGGGCATCACTGATCCGCATCAGCAAATTAAAATCGTATTATATTTTTCGAACTCTTCGTTACCTGATATAATTCCAAGTGGATTAGGCTTATATAATCAGTTAATCCCCTATTTTCATTTTCGTATATTGTCTTACTACACTGGATTAGCTAATCCATTTTTACTGATCCGGATCAGTGATGCCCATGGAAACGTGGTCAATGTGCGTCCTGTGACCGGCGACCGCTGCGTGATCCGTCATTGCAGCTCTGCTCTGCTCCAAGGTGAGACAATGTGCGTCCTGTGGCCGCTGCAGCGTCTCAATCATCGCTTATCTGCTCTGCTCCAAGGGGATCAATGTCACGTAATTTGTCTCCTTGTCCTTTGTTTGTCCTGCTGTGTTGTGCTATGTTATGGCCACTTTAGGTTTATCGACACCACTGCCTTCTTTTCCCTGGTTTGCAAGCTCTGTGCCTGGTAGGGCCATCCAGGTATTAAGTGGTTGGTTGCCAACATCACAATAATCGACCTGCGTTGATAAATACGTCTAATGGCTGTTGAAAACCTCTGCCGAAATGTGTGCACGAACCCTCTTCTCATTTCTATTGAGTAATTTTACAGGAGTGTCTCTGTCATTTAAAGTTATTACACCAAAAGCACATAGGCTAACCAACCACTCTTTTACTGGAGGGCCGTACGTACTACGTACGTTCTGTGCCTGACACTTGATGCGCTCTGTAACCGTTGGGTGGGTGCGCCGGGGCAGCTGTTTGACCAGCCGCAGGACGCGCTGCGCGCCGGCCTGACCTCGTTCAGCGCCTGCCTGGTGGGCACCGTCACCGTGGAACTGGTGCCGGCCCTCTACCACCGGCCCGTCACCGGCACACTCTTCTTCTGGATCATACTCATGTCCAGTGGCGTATCCAGGGGGGAGGCCAAGAGGCCATGGCCTCCCCCTTTGGCATCAAACATGCAAGTGGGCCCTTTGGGTTACTTGAGTGCAGTGACGTACCCAAGGGGGGCCATGGGGGCCCTGAGGGGCGCCCTGGTGACCAGGGGGACCTGAGGGTCCCCCTGGTCACCTGAGGGGTCCCTGGTTATCTGAGGGGCCCCTGGTTACCTGAGTGGCCCCTTTTTATCTGAGGGGCCCATGGTTATCTGTGGGGCCCCTGGTTATCTGAGGGGCCCCTGGTTATCTGAGAGGCCCCTGGTTATCGTAGGGGCCCCTGGTTATCTGAGAGGGCCCTGGTTACCTGATTGGTCCCTGGTTATCTGAAGGACTCCTGGTTACCTGAGGGGCCCTGGTTATCTGAGGGGCTCATGGTTACCTGAGGGGCCCCTGGTTTCCTGACGGGCCCCTGCTTACCTGAGGGACTCCTGATTACCTAAGCGGCCCGTGATTGCTTGAGAGTCCCTGATTATCTGAGAGGCCCCTGGTTACCAGTGGGGCCTCTTGGTATATGAGGGCCCCTGGTTATCTGAGGGGCCCCTGGTTACCTGAGGGGCCCCTAGTTATCTAAGGGGCCCCTAGCTACCTGAGGGCCCCTGATCCCCTGGGTGACCCCTGGCCAGTGATCTGAAGAAACCCTGGTCACCTGAAGGGCCCATGTTTACCCAGGGAGTACCTGGTTATATGAAGGGCCCCTGCAGTCACATAAAGGCCCTTAGTTACCCGTAGAGCCCATGGTATAACCGTCCGCTGGTTATCAGAGGGTCCCCTGGTCACCTGGTGGGCCCCTGGTCAATTGAAAAACCCCTGGTCAATTGAAAGGCCCTGGTCAATTGAAAGGTCCCTGGTCACCTGAGACGCCCCTGGTTACCTGAACGGCCCGTGATCACTCGGATTCAATGGTAACGCCTAAGTGATGGCCCCCACCAGTGTCTCTAAGCCCTAAGGCCCTCACAACGGCGCCTGCGAGGACCCCACACCAGCGCATCTGACGGCCTTTCACGACACCTCTGAGGGACTAACACAGGTGACTCTGAGGCGCTCGCTCGCTTCACTTCCTCATAAAATACCGTGCATTTTATGCATTCTTCTCAAGCAAAAAAAAAGAAGATATTTTTACCTGCTAATTTTGCACATTTTCTCAGGGCTTAGACAGACAGACAGACAGACAGACGGACAGAGGGGCCCGTCTGCAAGGGGGACCGGACCCACTGTGCCCAATCCCCTCATCGAAAGGCTCTGGATACGCCCCTGCCTGGGTTGACAGCGGCATCCGGGTGACCCGTGGGCCCCTTTGAGAGCAGGCGACCCCCTCCTGGGCGAAATCCTGAGTACGTGCCTGCTTGAGTGTCCCAAGAGAAACGACCTTCAGGGCCTCATCCAAAGTACTGACCCAAGCATAAATAAAGTCAAACTGCGTCAAACTATCTTAAAATGCCATTTGATGGCCGCGCCCAGAGGCTAGCGTGGGCCCTCAGATGTCGCTTTGGCGGCCATAAAGAAGCTTAGCGTGGGATCCTTTGACGCTGGTGTAGAGCCCTAAGGAGCCAGCGCTCAGCCCTCTAAGGCCAGCGTGGGCCCCTCTAAGGCCATTTTGGGGTCTTCTAAGGCCAGTGTGGGGCCTTCTAAGACGTCTATGTCCAGCGTGGGGTCTTTTAAGCCTCAGACATGAGACTCAGACATGGGGCCTTCTTAGGTCAGATTGAGGCCCATTGGCCACCGAGACTAGCTTGGGGCCCTCTGAAGACAATATGGAGCCCTCTTAGGCCAGTGTGGGGCACTCTGTGACCAGCGTGAACCCCCTGAGGCCAGCGTGGGGCCATCTGTCATTTGACTTCAGACTTTCGGAGGCTGGTGCTGGGCCCTCAGAAGCCAGCGCGGGCCTTCATAGGCTGGCATCGGGCCAATAGAGGCCACCTCGAGGGCCTCGTCAGCTACTTTTCAGATCTTATGCATGTTTGGGCCCCCTGAGGTAGGAGTGGCCCTTAAAGGCCGGCGCGGGACCCTCAGCTGGGGCATCATGGGCTTCTAGAGACCGGCGTGGGTTCGAAGGCGACATAGGGTCGTCAGATTGACTCAAAGACTTCCAAGAGCCAGGGGGGGGGGGGATCAGCCATAGCATGGGTCTCCTGAGGCCATTATGGGACCCGGAGGCCAGCGTGGTTCACTCTGTTGCCGGTGTGGGGCTTTCAGAGGCCAGAATGGGCCTTCAGAGGTCGGAGTGAGGCCAATGTGGGCGACATAGAGCCATCAGAGTCTAGATCAGAGCTCAACCCGAGTCGGGCCCTTCTAAAGTTAAGGTTATCAGCCCTCAACCAGGCACCAGCGCAAGACACTAAGAGATTAACATCTTCCCTTTGAAAAATATCACAATCGTAAAAAAATTGACAAAACATTTTGCTTTTGATAATCTTTAGTGGTCCCGGCGACGACCAAAGCAAAAAAAAAAAACTGTATGCCTACTGCTGAAATAAATTGTACACTACGTGCAGAGCTATCGATATCGATGACTTTTTCACGTTTTCTTCTTTTTAGATTGCCGAGTGTGCCTAAAAAGGCTCCCTTACATGGTGAAAGTGGCAAAGAACCGCACCTGGGCGTGGGTTAAGTACGCCACTGCTGGGGCCCCTAAGGTAAGGGTGGGGCACCTTGAGCAGGTTTGGCCTCCCCCTTTTCAAGATCCTGGATACGCCACTGCTCATGTCGGCACTCAGGTGACCGGGGCAGTGAAACATCCCAGCCGAATACCGCGATAAACTCTTGGAAATATTCCATAACGCGGCTGGCTGATTGCGGGGAGAGGCTCCGCATAGCCCACTCGTTTTTGTGCAATTACAAACTGTCGGGAAGTACACACAATTAAGTCTTTTTTATTTTATGTTTCTTTGCTTTTGATGTTTTGCGACCTCAACATTTTTAGTTTGATATTTTGTCATGAAATCCTCGTAAATATCTAAATATCTTATGTTTATGTAGGGGAGAGTGGGGTAATTTGGCCGGTGGTGTAAATTGGCCGCCCCCACCTGTACGAAAGCTGATAAAAGTGAATGAAATAACTTTAGTCTCTATTCATTTGTCGTCGGCAGAATTAACTCGAGAACAAATGTCAAAACTTTCCCCCTCTTAGTTTTATTCAAAATTAATAAAAGGTGAATTTCGTTAGAAAATGGTAACTTTTATTTCCGTTTAAAAATTTGTGTAACATGTAGTATTTGGGCTGTAGACGAATTCCAACATTATAGCGCCATTTTTTAGGGTGTTCAGCGGTTCCAAGAGCAATTGCATCTAGTTCTGTACAGCCATGACGACTTTATAGACAAAAAAAATCAGAATGGCAATGCGGGGTTATTTGGCCGGGACTAGCGGGGCAACTTGGCCGGTGCGCTCAGAGTCACTATGCTGGGACGGCCGAGTTGTCATGGTCAATTATACCATAAAGGACATAATTCATGACCAACTTTGACTACCTTGATGCCATATTTCCTATTGGACAGCTGTAAGGGCATGTGACGTCATCAAAGGTTACCTAACGCTTTTTTGCTAATAAATACTTACAGAAAAAAATACGGCCGCGCAAACGGTATCATTGTGTTCAGCTCGTCAAGGCGCATCGAATGATATACATGATGACCTTGAACTCACGTAACCTTGAGGTCAAGCGACCTGAGGTAACGTGACCTGAAGCCAACCTTTGACCTTGACCTCTCGAGGTCAACACATACATGTTTCGATGCGGAATGACGAGAGAATTACGATGGTACTTTTAGTTTTGGCCTAGCTTGATTACTTCAAAAGTTATTCGCAAAAAACTTTCATCGCATCTAGAGCCGTTATTTTGACTATTTCGACCCCTGTGACGGCTGAGTCAACCTCCAAAATGCTTCAAATGCGTCGTAGGACACGCGTCATTGCTGAATGTGAAGCTGACTCGCCTATAACAAAAATCATGGCCTCAAACTAACACCGGCCAAATTGCCCCACACCCCCGGCCAAATAACCCTGCTAGTGGGGCAATTTGGCCGCTTTGCAGACCTTTGTAATACGTCACAATTTCAATATAAGTAGTTACTCTATCATTTCAAGTTTACTGTCCGAGAAAGTAAAATGTATGTCACACCTGTCAGCGTTGAGAAAATGCAGAAATGTGTTGTCGATTTTTAGTTACATCGTTTTCTAAAAAAAGCGGCCAAATTACCCCACTCTCCCCTAACCACACGGCTAAAAGGCTAAAAGGTATCATTTTTGCATCATACATATACATCGCACAGTTTATCCGACATCAGCGAGAGCGATGCACCGTTTCTGACGTCCATCTCCCACAGCGTCCTGGTGGGCTGCGGCCTGGGCAACATCCTGGGCAAGTTCCAGCTGCCCGCCTTCACCCTGCCCTTCAACACGGTGACGGCCATCCTGTTCCTGTGCCTGCACCCGCCGGAGGCGACAGAGGTGGCCGCGGCGCCAGCGAACGTCACCACTGACACCGTACTGTGGGACCAGGTGAGTGGTCATAGTCCACCGTAGGGGCACCAACCCAATGTCTCGGACGGGCGCCTTAGACTATAACTGCGGTCTGCGGACCATTGCCGACCTAAATAAGTAATTATTGTCCATTTGAAAACAGCATAACCTATGCATAAAGAAATGGATTGCCTATTAATATAGGTATGTTGCAGAGAGTATGCGAAATCCGTTAGTTGTAACTTTATATAGCTTTATTCGGCAGTAAATTGTCCCTTACGTACGGCTCCCGCTGTCTCCCGTGCTAGCCGTACTGACTATCTAAGTGCACCGTAAGTGTGCCGTACCGTCAGTTTGTGATGTTGCCCTTTTCGGCCGGTCTGTTGGTGCCGTGCTGTGTTCCCCGTCAGCGGTCTGTCGGTGTCCCGTCAGCGTCTGTCGGTGCCGTGATGTGGTCCCGTCAGCGGTCTGTCGGTGCCGTGATGTGGTCCAGTCAGAGGTCTGTCGGTGTCCCGTCAGCGGTCTGTCGGTGCCGTGATGTGGTCCAGTCAGAGGTCTGTCGGTGCCGTGATGTGGTCCAGTCAGCGGTCTGTCGGTGTCCCGTCAGCGGTCTGTCGGTGCCGTGATGTGGTCCAGTCAGAGGTCTGTCGGTGCCGTGATGTGGTCCAGTCAGAGGTCTGTCGGTGCCGTGATGTGGTCCAGTCAGCGGTCTGTCGGTGCCGTGATGTGGCCCCCGTCAGCGGTCTGTCGGTGCCCGGTGCCGTGCTGTGATCCCCGTCAGCGGTCTGTCGGTGCCCGGTGCCGTGATGTGGTCCCGTCAGCGGTCTGTCGGTGCCGTGATGTGGTCCAGTCAGCGGTCTGTCGGTGTCTCGTCAGCGGTCTGTCGGTGCCGTGATGTGGTCCAGTCAGAGGTCTGTCGGTGCCGTGATGTGGTCCAGTCAGCGGTCTGTCGGTGTCCCGTCAGCGGTCTGTCGGTGCCGTGATGTGGTCCAGTCAGAGGTCTGTCGGTGCCGTGATGTGGTCCAGTCAGAGGTCTGTCGGTGCCGTGATGTGGTCCAGTCAGAGGTCTGTCGGTGCCGTGATGTGGCCCCCGTCAGCGGTCTGTCGGTGCCTTGATGTGGTCCAGTCAGCGGTCTGTCGGTGTCCCGTCAGCGTCTGTCGGTGCCGCCAGGTGCTGCTGGGCTCGGTGTACAGCATGGGCCAGGTGTACGCCGCCTACACCCTGGCCGGCAGCGCGCTCATCTACCTGGGCTGTCTGCTGTGCTCGCCCGTGCTGACGGCCGCCTCCTACGTCGGGGCGCTCACCGGCACACTGCTCGGTCAGTGTCAGACGACCAGTGTCGGACGACCCGTGTCAATGTCAGACGACTCGTGTTAGTGTCAGACTGCCAGTGCCAGACGACCCGTGCCAGTGTCAGACGACCCGTGTCAGTGTAGGACTACCAATGTCAGACGAGCCGTGTTTATGTCGGACGACCCGTATCAGTGAAGACGACCCGCGTCATTGTCAGACTACCAGTGTCAGACGACCCATGTTCGTGAAGACGACCCACTAACTAAGTACTCGCAGGCTCACTGGAACTGTGCCACCAGTGATGCATGTGTTGCAAATGGAAATTGTCGCGCATTGCATCTCTCCTAGCTGTACAGCTGTTTTGTTGAGAGTTGTTTACGATTGAATGTCATAAATTTTATGTTGTGTCTGTCACTGGGTATAGAGGCTAGGGGGTAGGGGCATTAGTAAAGTCAAAGCCAAACAAATCGGGCGAATCTCATCTCATGGCTTTTTGTTGCTAGTGCGCGTCTTTTCGTATAAATAACCAGCAGGATGTGCAAGTGTATTAAAAATAAACATTTATTTCAGGTTTGAACCATATAAGTCATGATATTTTACTTTGCAATTCGAATTCGTCACCATGAACGTCAGTGATGAGTAGGATGAATCGTAGTAAAGGAATCTTGGGATGAATGGTCCATTGTTGCAGGTGTGGCGTTCAGCGACCCGCCTTACGACAGCGTCTACAGCGGGGTGTGGGGCTACAACGGCATCCTGGCCGCCGAGGCCATCATGTTCTTCATGGTGCCGTCCGTCCGATCGGTGCTGCTCGCTCTGCTGAACGCCGTCCTCGCCACCATGATTCAGGCCGCGCTGGCCGTCAGCTTGAAACAGGCGAGTGTTGTCGACAGGTGTGGGCTGTATGCTCCCTGCTTGACGCCGTGAGACGCCGCTGAGGCATCATCTACATACAATTAGAAATATACGCATATCAGTCACATGAGTCCATGACCATCTCTGAGTCACTTCGGGATTGAGCTTCTTCTCAATGATCATATAATTATGAGCACTCATTCACGGATGATGCCCGTAGCGTCTATTGAACTTGTGTGATGCCGTTCTATTGCAAAACCCCTTTGTTTGTTTGTTTGTTTTGTTTTGTTGGGTTAGGCCCTTTCGGTCCAATTAGACCATTTCAGAGCCGGGAGGATGATAGGATATAGGGGGAGACATTGGTCTGGGCAGGCACCCTAGTGAGTCGCCGGGGCTGAGCCCGTCCAGAGGACAGGCCACCCAGCCCCAAGGCACTCACTGCACCCGGCTACGGGGTGCGCTCCCTCGGGAGCAGCGGTGCCGCTCCAAGGGAGCAGCCCGCATGAAATAAAGTTGCCTGTCCAGCCCGGAGGGGGGTTGCGGCGTGGAGGAGAAGGATTTCAGTATCCTGAGGATAGAAGCACGGAACGGTCGCAAACCCCTTTCCGATGGTGTGTTTCGCAGGTCAACCTTCCCGTCTTTACGTTTCCGTTCGTGACTTCGACTCTGCTGCTGCTGGCCACCACCACGGCAGGCTCCGGTGAGTCTCTGTAGTCGGTGAGTCCCTGTAGTCGGTGAGTCCCTGTAGTCAGTGAGTCTCCGCAGTCAGTAAGTCACCCGGGGTCGGTGAGTCACCGTAGTCAGTGAGTCCATGTAGTCAATGAGTGTGCGCAGTCAGTGGGTCACCTTTGCTGTGATCGGTGAGACCCCGATGTCGGTGAGTCCCCGCGGTCAGCTGGCTGTCCGCCGCAGGGCTGCGGAGTCGGAGTCGGAGTCGGAGTCGGAGTCGGTCGGAGTCGACAGTTGTGACCGGAGTCGGAGTCGGAGTCGGAGTCGATTTTAGAAACCCGAGCCGGAGTCGGAGTCGGAGTCACCGAAAATCTGTCGACTCCGCAGCCCTGCTAGGTCTGCGGAGTCGGAGTCGGGAGTTGGAGTCGGTCGGAGTCGACAATTCTGCCCGGAGTCGGAGTCGGAGTCGGAGCTGGTTTTTGAAAGCCAGAGTCGGAGTCGGAGTCGGAGTCGCCGAAAATCCATCGACTCCGCAGCCCTGGTCCGCCGCCCGCTGACGGTCCGCACTCCGCAGTCGGTGAGTCCTCTCCCCGTGACCCATCTGTCGTCGGTGGGCCCTCCGCAGGGTCGGTGGGTACCCCACGCTCAGCAACCCTCCTGGCGTCGGGGAGTGCCCGAGGATGATATTTGTAATTTCAAACTCTCAATCCTATCTTTTGTCTGCGATTTTTCGCAATGTTATGTGTTCGCTCTGTTGGTATTTGGTATGACTCAGTTCCCCACTGGGTTCTGAAATTGACATCACTATACCACGCCGCGGTCTGTGATCACCAGTAGAATAGTCGGTTGTGGCCAAGTCTGGGAGGAAGCTGTAGTGATTCACTGCACTGCCGCTGTCCTCTGGTGCAGCCTGCTGATAGTCGAGCTGCGGTTTTCTGAGCACAGAATAACATTTATTAAAAAGAAATGATCTTTCTCTGCAATAATTTGTAGAATAATTGCCGCGAATAATGCAATCAGATCAGCAGTTGCCTCCGCAATTGCCATCAGTATTCGGGTGTCTTAAGACATATAACAGTTGCATCCAAATGGCATACCCTGCATGAGTGAAACAGTAAGCAGAGGAATGGGTACCGCTTTCACGCGCTGAGATAAAAACTCGCGCTTCTGACAAAGACTCTAACGTAACGCATTCTTTGTATAGTTAGTACTACAGTGGAACCCGCTTAATAAATCCACCTGGGTGACAAGGTGTTTTGGATTTATTAAGCGGTGGCTTTATTAACCGATGTCAGCTATTTCATTAAAAAGCATTTATCGCAGCTGCACGTTCCATTCCCCTGCACTACAAACGTACAGGCTAGCATTCTTCATTGTCTTACTTATTCCAATGAAAGTGAATACGGGCTCCACCGCACCGGTGGGGTCACGGGGGTCTGGACCCCCAATAACACTATGCAACAAAAAATGAAAAATTTTCTGTTCCTGGAAAGCGACCGAATTTTTCTTATTCATTGGGTCCTATTATAACCGAAATGGGCATTAGTTTTGATCTGAAAATGCTTTTCCGGTTTTCAGAGACGATTTTCGATTTTTGGCCCCGAAATTCGGTTTTTGGCCCACCGTGTCCGATGTAATTGAGTAATCGACTCGCGGTAACTTTCATCGCCTTTCCTATGCCACAAGCTTTCGAATGATATCTGGTTTTGCATATTTGCGTGCAAAAATAACGTCATAAATCTATGTTAAAGTAAGAAAATGTTGAAATTTTGTAAAAATTTGACATTTTTTTCGATTTCATTTCAAAATAGAAGAAAAACTAAAGGCCCCATCCAAATTCTGAGCCCAGTTCCTTGAAGAGCATTCAATTTCCGTTCGGAAGGTACCTTTTTAGTGCATTTTATCGGATTCCTGTGGCGTCCAGATTGAGTTAACCTAAACACATATCCTAAGTCATATCACATAGCATTAACCTGATAACGTATGTTAACGCCATAGGATCAACGAGGGGTCAACTGAGGTCATTTTGTTGACCCCTTGTGACCTCGGGTCACACGCAGGAACTTACTTTTGAGCAGTCCTGTCGCTCAGAATCTTGATCTGTTGGGGGCCCGTTTTTCAAGTGACTCAATCTGGACGCCACAGTAAACCGATAAAATGCACTAAAATAGTACCTTCCGAACGGAAATTGAATGCTCTTCAAGGAACTGGGCTCAGAATTTGGATAGGGCCTTTAGTTTTTTCTCTATTTTGAAATGAAATCGAAAAAAATGTCAAATTTTTACAAAATTTTAATATTTTCTTACTTTAACATAGATTTATGACGTTATTTTTACACGCAAATATGCAAAACCGGATATCATTCGAAAGCTTGTGGCATAGGAAGGGCGATTAAAGTTACCGCGAGTCGATTACTCAATTACACCGGACACAGTGGGCCAAAAACCGAATTTCGGGGCCAAAAATCGAAAATCGTCTCTGAAAACCGGAAAAGCATTTTCAGATCAAAACAAATGCCCATTTCGGTTATAATGGGACCCAATGAGTCCAAAAAAATCGGTCGTTACTCAGGAACAAAATGACTGTTCCATATAGTGTAATTTGACTTTCGTAATGTAGCCTTATGCATAAAGGCGTGCGTTTTAGGGTTGGACATTCCTCCCCCCCCCCCCCCCCACCTGCGACCGTAGTGAAGCCCCTGAAAGTGACCAGCGGCGCGCACACTGCAAAGCTGTCACAGCGATTAAGTCGACGTGCCCATCCATGCGATCACTCCCCGTCATGCCTGCTATGCCAGCGAAACAGCTGAGGGTGCCTGCTTTGCCAGGAACATTTCTCTGAGGTACTTGGTGATGGCGCTCTTGATACCCCTGAACTCCCTTCTGTCGTGGGAAGTCAAAGTGCTGCAGACCGCTGCTCCAGTGCGGTTCTTTTTGAGCGGGTTGGATGCCACGTTTTGAATGGGGAGATGTCACTGCGGACTTCGAAACTGCCAAGTGGCTTTAATAAGCGGAGTACGTATTTATTAAGCGGATTTCTTAACTGCGGCTAACTATGGAGAAAATCCGTGAACAGCTCAAGCGGCCACATTAAGCGGCTGGATTCATTATCCGTGGATTTATTAAGCGGATTCCACTGTAGTTCATACCACATCCATTACCATAACGATTTTGCAGGCCTAACTCGTGTGAAGAATCTTCGTTACCCGGAGCTGCACTTTCGCGAGAGGCCCCAGAAGATGCGGCCAGATGACGAATCCTCGGCAACTCCGGATCTGGACCGTGACTAGCACCAGTGGGCAGGCGCATCACGGCTCACTTCGGCGCGGCGAATCGACAGCCCACTCGCAGGTAACTTTCTCCCACGCAAAAAATTAAATCACACTAAATTAAATAACATAAAATAAATGGAATAAAAACAGCTATAGGTACCTGTTCGTAACGTTTTTTTTTTAGTTTTTCTTTTCCAGCATCGAATGCTAGGAAAGCTGAGTACGAGCAAATCACGCAGGATCAGTGGCGCGGGAACTTCTTCCAGACTGGGGGGGGGGGGGGGGGGTGAACCATAATAGAGATCAACCTAGGGTACCCCCAAATCTAGTTTTCTCACCGGTTTTAGGCCACTTATTTTTCAGACTTTGGCTTTTTCAATAACAAAAAAAAAACGAGAAAAAAATGCAAAAAGTAGTGAGGTATTCCGTCTCAGCTGAGTGAAGAAACTACCGTTTTGGCAACCTGGAGTAAAGGTTTTAATCTGCCAAATGAGCTGCCGAGCCAGTGAAAGAGGCGGATTTTTCACTAACATACTTTTTTCCTTTGTGACCCAAAACCCCTAATTTGGAGAGGACAAGCTGCCCAACGGTTCCTGGCCTCATGAAAAGTTGTGGGGCACCGCCCCCACGGCCGCAGAGTTGTGGGGGCAGGCTTCCCCCACTGCCCCCTCCCCTGGTTCCCGCGCCTGTGTATGAATCTATGAAATTATGTTGGTAGATTTCCGATTTCGATTCCTCCAGCTGGGGGGGGGGGGGGGCTCAAATACATTACGAGCCCCCACAGCCGAAAAGCTGGGGGGCTTAGCCCCCGCTAGCCTCCCCCCCCCACCCCCGGTTCCCGCGCCACTGCGCAGGATGCCTGAGGTAATATCGCTAAATGACGCTAGGTGGCTTGATGATCGGTGTGTTGAAAAGGAAAAGCAGATTGTTAATAATGTTGCCGTTACATATCCCTTTATTAAGCACATTGTCTCGTACTATGAAAACTTTCATGCAGGCAGGAAAGGTCGCTGTACCTGTGCATGCAGCTTTAGAAGATGCTTCATTACACCGCACTTAGTAGGTCTATTTCAAAAGCTCGGCAGGACTTCTTTCCCGTCACGTCCAAAGTGCGTGTGGAAGACGTTCCAAGGCATGCTCGCTACTAGTAGTGTTTCTACTTTCTACTATAGGTCTACATTGTAGGCAGTTTTTTAGTTCATGGAAAAGTGATATTCCCTCTGATTTCTGTGGTTCACTTGTAACTTACGTCTTACGAGCTGCAAATGTGTTTCAGACGTGATTGCCGGCAAGGTGTAATTTGAAGCCAGCAATCGGAATGCAGCAGAATGTGACTTGTAAACCCATTCCATTTCTGCGAATCAATATTTGAATGTGGCATGGTTTTCCATAACATTTGTAAGTGTACCGAACAATGTTTGAAAGATCTTCGGCTTGACTGTGAATGTTACTATTGAAATATCGACGTGCAACCCATTAGACGGTGTCTGATCGAGCTAATCAATAGCGTACCCAACCCTCTCAGTACTAGCTGAAAGGGATTGAATGTTACATGTTTAATTTCTTCATGCAATGCGGTCACATCGATTGTATAGATCATGGGATGTTTAATATATTTCAACTCCAAAAGGGTGTGGAGGTTGACATTTGAAGTTTGATGATCTTTTTATTTATCAAAGCTAATGGAATAGTGTTTGCCTTACACATCATCTGCCAGTTCATGCACCACCAGCCAATCAGTTTCACTCAGTTAAGTCTTAGACGTCATCCCGGATTTCCTTTATGTTGAAACTGAGAGTAAGAAGCATCAGACCGATGAAATTAGCTTACTTTCGTCTCAGTAACAAGCAAACCCGATACTAAATGTTCGTCTTAAAAAATGATTGCATTTGACAAGCAGTTAGAGGACAGTAGCACGTCCGATAAGCCCGATGGCACTTCGAGACAACAGTCTGCATGACACAAGCGCGGTCTACACGCCAGTTCGTGCTATGCAAACACCTCGTCTGATGTGATGGAGAGCCGGAACTGCATCGAATCACGGGACGAGGTGGAGGGGTGCACCGCTCCCGGGGAGGTGTCGGAGTCGCCGGGCCCGGCCCCGGGCACTGGGACCGTGTCAGACCAGCTGGCGAGTCCAGAGTCCATCGACTGCGCGCCGAAACTGGGCAGGGACGCCGTCTGGCCGCGGCTGAGCTGGCTGCAGCTGCAGCTACCGTTGTCCATGCTGGCCGACTGGTGACACCAATGCTGCACCATGTCCAGCCAGCCGGTGGCCTCCAGCGACTCGAGCCAGGCCGGCGGGCCGCCGTCGTGTCGCTCTATTTCTGCCTCGATGCTGAAGCTGCGCATTGCCAGGTGGAGGCAGTCCCCATCTCCAGCGGAGCCTCGCAGCGACACGTCCTCAGACGGACTGGCGGAGGGATCGTCCCCGTCACCCTTCCGTTGCATGGTGATGGCGTGCTTCTGACCTTTGATGCTCAACAGAAGCTCTTGACTCTGATTCTGGCTGCGTGTGAAAAACTTAAACTTTTCTCTAGCACGCATTTTGATCGCAAACTTGCAGCATTCATAGCGTATGCTGTGGATTTGATCCCAAGAGATGCGCAGAAACGGCGTCAGTTTGTCCTCATAGACGTTGATGCCGAACGGTGTGACGCCGATCCAGAACCAGCAGACGCGGCGGCCGGCCGGCTGTCCACCCAGGGGATTCTCGCAGCGGATGTGATAGAAGGTGGTGCCGAAGCCGGGCAGCTGCTGGGCGCGCAGCAGATACTCGTGCTGAGCGTCCCGCCGCGGCAGGCCGTGCAGCCGCCGGTGAAGGGCGGCCACGCGCTCCTGCCACTCTCCGGAGCCCCGCAGCGGACCCTCCAGCTTTAGCGGCAGGTGCCGGTTCCTGGTCAGCTGGCCACTCTCCAGGCGAGCGTCGAGGAAGTCGCCGCAGCGAGCCTGCAGCGCATAGGCCGCCAGCTCGATGGCGGTGGCCAGCGGACAGAAGAGCGTGCCGTCGAGCACAGCTCCGCGCACCTGGAGAAACAGCAGCTCCGTAGCTACGTCTCCCAGCGTCCACGCCGATTCTTGTGGCCAAAAGCGAGCGCAAAAGGTGAAGCGAAGCGGCGACTGTTTTTGCGCGGTGCGACTGGTCAGACGCTCTTCAGGCTGCAGCCAGACCGTTTTTCCACTCTGGTCAACGAACTGTAGACCGAAAAACCAGGGTTCGTGGAGGTCTAGAATGTCCACCACTTGTCTGAACAGCTGTTTCCCTGTTGTTGTGCGCTTTACGGCGAAGTCAACCTGAAGCCTCGGAGTCACGATCCGAACGACCAGCAATCCTGACGTGCCGACCATAGCTGATAACACTGAGTTTCTTCCAAGGACACAAGCATACAACACAAATACGTGCACGGGCTTCACGGGTTGATGTGAACTGGGTCCCAACCGGCAGCGCTCGTCCGCAGGCGGAGGAAAGGCGACTGAGCCAGCCGGCTGCCCCAGCGACCACAGAATGACTCGGCGCGGGGACATCTTCCGCCCGATAGATACAGTGTGCAGTGGGGCAGTGCAGTGGACTTTGAGTCGCGTCATGGCGCAGTTTGTCTAATCTAGCAATGTAGAGCGTTGCTAGATTAGACGCTAATGTGCAGTAGACACAGACATAGGCGGCGGAACAGGGAGGGCACCGGGGCACCGTGCCCGCCTTTGATTTTGGCATTTTAACATTAGCCCTATGGGTGTTGCATGGAAAGAATGGGATCAAAAGTCGGCGGTGCCCCCCCCCCCCCCCCCCTTAATTGAAGGTGTTCCGCCGCTACTGGACCCAGATAGGGCACGGTAACTCCCTGCTTGCTTCTTATCTGCGTGAAAGTGATATAGCACCTGTTTATCATGCCTCATCTTTCCACGGGTGCAAGTGTTCTATAGCGCCTCATAGGCATTATGCATGCTCAACTGTCCATCAGTTCAAGTGGATAAGCCCCCGCCGCCCTGCCAGGTCTGTTTTGTAACCTGGCTGGCCAGGAGGAGGACCAAGGCCAAGGAGGACGCTGCTACAGCTTCTGACGATTGATTCCTACGGCTCCGGTTTAGAAGCACCAAATGTAATGGGTAGGTGAGGCGTGGGTGCCTAATTTGAGGTGTGAGGTAATACGAGGTAATTTAGTATTTTTCCTTAAAAAAATAAATAAATAGGAAAACGGGTAAATATCCATAACCGATGCTCTTAAATACACCGATAGCACTTTCGAGCTGAATCAATTACTTTTGAAGGCGGCGTGATCCATGGTCCTTCAGCTTCACATTTCTCGAAAAGCTCACGCACATCTCGTTGTCCTACCCAACTTCTTGGATAAGCTTTGGATGTTATTGCCGTTTTCACGACGAGCTAACCGGCGAATGCACCTGATTTGACCAAATCTGCACCTAATTTCTTTTACAGCAAATATCTTCATTTTATGAATTTATTTCAGTGTTTTAATCGATGACACTCTCTGATAATATGACAAAGCAGGCATATAAGCAATTAGTGCAACCCTAGCTGATCGCTGCTAAAAGACACACTGAAACTGATTTGACCAAATATGCACCTAATCTGTACCAGATGTGCACCAAATGTGTACCAGATGGCCGTCGTGAAAACGGCTATTATCGCGTGGGGCGCCTTCCAGTCTATTTTTCACACGTCTTATTTTCATTACGAAAGAGATTATCGGCACAATTGATGATGTTGGGAGCATTTCTGCAACTGTAGTCGACCCCCGTCACCACCATTAGCTGGAGGGTCCGCGGGGTTGTGGTGTTGGCCAGTGGCGGATCCAGCTCAGAGTTTTTTTTTTGGGGGGGGGGGGGGCAAACCATAACAATTTATCGATTCTTTCCATGCCTCGTCCTTAGGCGTAATGTTAAAATTATGCCGTTTGGGAGGGGCAAATGCCCATTTTGCCCCCCCCCCCCCCCTGGATCTGCCACTGGTGGTGGCTGTGGTTGTCGCGGCGGGTGTGATGACTTGCACTGGAGTGAGCTGTTGGGCTTTTGGTAGCAGCGCGGCGGCTAGGCCATGGTAATATCAGGCTTGGGCGGTTCCGGGCTGTTCACTGCTAGCACCAGTGAGCTGATGAGGGCCGCGGCGCGGCACCGATCGCTATCTGGCAAAGGGCCCCCGTCGTGTCTCCAAAGCCAATAGTCGGATCGGAAATACTCAAACGGAATTCGTAAGAACTCATCGAGATGCACAAGATACGATAGGTATCGATGACCTCGGTATAGTAACACAGACAACTTTGTTTCCGAAATGTACGGCTGAAATGGACCATAAAACATGGTCACGTGACCGACGCATAACATACAAATTTTCGTGACCTAAGATGACCTGGCCTTGGCCTGACAAATTCGAAGTACAAGTTCAGTATACCCGCAGGGTATCTTAAGACGCGCAGTGGAAGGGTTGCGAGTACTACGCCCTGTGGAAGGGGGGCGGATGTCCCCCCCTCTAAGATCTCAGCTTCCACTGGAGCTAGAAAGAAAGACGAAATTTATATGGTAGGTGGGGGTCCTGTGGAACTCTATTGTGTGTGAATTTCATGACCCTAGGCTAATATCTTCAAGGTCAAATGAGGTCAAATGTGGTCAAATCTTTTTTGCGTTTACACGCCAATAACTCAAAAAGTTACCGGCCGATTTTATTTTTTCTTTCATTATACGAAAGAACATAGGTACATTTGTGAGTATGTATGGATAATTTCTAGCTAATACAACAATAAATATGGCAGTTGGAAAATAGAAGCCTGCTAAGAGTAAGAAGTCGCCGGCGTAAGCGGGATCGGCCGACGCGGGAAACGCGGCAATCACAATTTTGTGTTTAAACGCTCATAACTGAGATAACTCAAGTTTTTACCGGCCGATTTTCAAAATTCTTTGACCATAAGATTGTCTGTACGTTTCTTTAGTCTCTCACAAAATTTGACGCGAATCGAATATAATCAGCGGTAAGGAGCGCGATGTAAAGACGGAACCGTCCCGCCCCGGCACAGTCTACAATTCAGGCGGCGCGTAACGGCTAGCGCCGGCCGCCGCAACGCCGCGGCGGCAGGATGTTTGACTTTACACCGATATGCCTATTACTAGAAAAGTTGTGAACCGATTTTCTTATTTCTTGCACGAGGAGATCCGCAATTCAATTCTGGTCAGGTAGCAAAATTTCGCGATAACATTACGTTTGCGGCGCGAATTATTGGCAAAAACAGGAGGGGTGGGCGAAATCCGCCCCCCTTCCACTGCGCGTGTTATCAGCACTTGACTGTTTCTCTCTCTCTCTCTCTCTCTCTCTCTCTCTCTCTCTCTCTCTCTCTCTCTCTCTCTCTCTCTCTCTCTCTCTCTCTCTCTCTCTCTCTCTCTCTCTCTCTCTCTCGCGTATGACGCCTTCTGCTGCCGACGCCTGCGGACTGGCGAATCACCGGATGCGTTCCTCTTTGATCTACGGCGGGTAGCGGTGCTTTTCGGGGGTGTGCCAGACAAGGCGCTCATCTGCGCATTTGTCTCTGGGCTACCCGACAGCACCAGACAAGCTATCCGCGCTGGATCCAGGGCTGAGGGCCTCAGCCTGGAGGGTGTACTCGCTCGGGCCCGCTCAGTGCTGAGCGACCAACGGCCGCGCCGGCGGCGGCTCTGAGCGCTGTTCGGCTGCGCAGCCAAAATGAAATATGCTGCAGTACGCATGCGTAGTGAGGGCTACGTTGTTGTTGTTGTGTGTTCCCTCCAGCCGCGTTACCGAGGTGTAGCCGTGCGGCTCTGGAGGTCCCTCACGGCGGCCGCCTGGGCCGCCACCTCTCCGTCGTCGCGGACGTCTTCCGGGCTCGGGAAAATCGTCCCGTACCTCTGGAGACGCCAGCCCATGAGGGCCGGGCACCGGAAGAAGAGGTGCCGGGGGGTGTCGGCCTCCTCCCGGCACACGGTGCACCGGCCCGCCGCACAGTCGATGTCAGGGCACTCCCGGCACTGGCGGCAATCGTCGGAAGAGTTCCGTCCAATCCGGTGGAGGTATTGGCGGGAGCCTGACCAGTGGCCCGCGCGGAGCTGGTGGACGTCGACGGCTGACGATCTGTCCCCCGCCGCGGCCGGTGGCGGCAGCCAGTTCCCCATCAGGGTCCGGTACTAGCCCTCCGGCCAGGCGGCGATGGTGCGGTCGCGGGCCAGTCTGATGGCCGCACGGTGGGCGGTAGCGACGTCCACCGGGACCGCCGCCTGGGGGAGCGCGGCCGCCTCCTTGGCGATCTGGTCGGCGCGCTCGTTTCCGTCGACGCCGCAATGGGACGGCACCCACTGCAGGTGGATCCGGCGGGACGGACCGGCCAGGGCCCCTAGTTCGGTCCAGATGGCGGCTCCTAGCAGGGTCTTCTGGGACGCCGGGCCCTCTCTCAGCGTCGCGAAGGCCGACTGCGAATCCGAGCAGATGGTACCTAATTGGCGCGCTCGGCTGGTGCGGGTGGTCGCGCAGGTGATTCAGGGCCGCGCGGAGTGCGACCATCTCCGCCCTGAAGCTCGAGCAGAGTTGACCGGCCGGGACGCGTAGCTCGTCGGTCGCACCGTCCGGCCACTCTGCACAGAGGCTCCTGCTCCTCCGCTGCGGACTCCCGCATCCGCCGACCCATCAGTACAAACCCAGATGGCTTGCTGGGGGAGGGACGCTAGGTGTCTCTGTGCCGCCTGGTGCAGTTCGTCAGATGGGGCGTCACGCCGCAGCGCTCCGATGTCCAGAAAGAATGTGACGTGTGGGCAGGCGGCCACCTACGATGGCTACGTCGCCCGTTAGTCCCGCCCACACCACTGCGTCATCGCCTGTGTGACGCCACCTACTGAAGCGTGCTTCGTTTTCCTGCAGCCAGAAATTCGGTGCTGCAGGAGACGAAAGTGGCGCGGATTAAAGTTTACCGTCCAATATTTCTATCGGTTTGCATGCTGTTTTTTTTTTGTATCATTGTCACTTTTTTCAGTGGCACATTGCTATTAACCACATTTGAACGCAATTTAACAGTTATTTGAGCGACAATCACCAGTCCACCCGCGCAACGGTTCGCCGCGGGTGGAATAGGCCGCGGCGTGCCGGCGGAGAGTGCGCGGAGCCAGGCGGCTGACCTGACGTCACCCAAGTGTGACGCACGCAGCACAGATCTATGTTGCAGGGACCCGAACCAAGATACCTATAAGAAACACCCGAACAGCCCTCCGGTGGCAGCAGCTCCGGTGGCGGCGGCGGCGGCTGGTCCGGTGGCAGCGGCGGCGCGAGCTCCTCGGACAGGGGGTGGAGTAGGGCAGCAGAGGAAAGGAACCGGCGGCCGGTGGCGCCTGGGCCGGGGCGCGAGTTTCCTAAGTGTGGAACTGCCCATACCTAAGGTCTCTGATTGGCGTAAGCTTCGCCAAGATGACGTTACATGCTGTGACGTCATGGCTCACAGTCGGCCGACCAATCGCTGCACGATTATAGGCTAGCGGCGCGCGGCACTAGCGCCCCTGGTGTTATTATGGGAAGTTGAGCAATACATTGAAATCTAATACGTAGCTTGTGTTGGGAACAATTACGTATTACTAAGGCGTCAATGTCTCACAAATTAATTCGTCCACGCTCCTCAAATTTTGCAAAGTGACCTTATATTGTGCGTCATAAGGTACTACGCTTCAAACAATCAGCACACAGCACCAGCCAGGCACTGTTACAAGTAGCGAGCAGTTATGAGTTAAGTGGCGGCAGGTGGCGCTACCATCTCCAGCATCGGTCCAGATGGCGTCACTCACTATCCGCACTATAGATCCGCACTACCTGCTAATAAAATAAATAATAAATCCGCTAATAATCTCGCTAATAAATCTGCTAATAATAAATCCGCACTACCTGCTAATCTGTGTCCTATTGGTGTCAAACATCATTCAACGCCGACAGGCAGTATCACCAGCCGTAATACTGAAGACATTTACTCAATGCTGAAGCGAAACGCAGTGCACAAACCCCACCGTCAAAAGTCTCAAGCACCTCGATAGGAGATATGCTTCCAAGGTGGGCGAATGCACGAACGACAACTGAAATAACACCGGTTTTATATTCACGTAGAACAAGTTGCTTTTTCCCTAACTAGGGAACTCGCTAAAATTAAGACTAGCTAAACATTTACGCAGGATAACTGGCTCCGCCTCTTCGCCAACTTAAGGACCCGCCAATCAATGCACCTAGCCGCCAGCGCCAACTGA